CATACGACACGTGATTCAAGTTCTTTAACCACTCAAAGAATGAAACTGTGACACCACCGGCATTAATGTACAAATCTGGAATTACAAGAATATTCCTATCGATCAGAATCTTGTCTGCGGCAGGAGTAGTCGGTCCATTAGCAGCCTCCGCAATAATCTTTGCCTAAAAAATATAAATTATCATCTTTTGATTATCGTCTGAGATTTTTTAAGATTTCAAATTAATTATTTCTATCTTATCAAATGTAATGCAACAAATGGTACATCGACTCAGTTATTTTTCGATTTTTTAAATAATACATAAAAAATAAAAATAACACTTTCAAGAAATTAATTAAAAAATGGATAATTTTTAATATTTAATAATTCAATTAGTAAAGTTTATTTTATATAAAATTGATTAAAGTTTGATTATCGTCTGAGATATTTTAAGATTTAATTATTTCTATCTTATCAAATGTAATGCAACAAATGGTACATCAACTCAGTTATTTTTCAATTTTTTTAAATAATACATAAAATATAAAAAAAATAAAATACACTTTCAAGAAATTAATTAAAAAATATATAATTTTTTAATATTTAATAATTCAGTTAGTAAAGTTTATTTTACATAAAGTTTATATTCAATATAACTTTCTTCGATATATCTGCAAACATAACCAAAAATAATTAAATGTATAAAAATAAATTTTATGTATGCATTATCAAAATAATAACTTTACCTCGATGCGTCCGGCATTCTCTTTGGTAATTACTTTCTCTATAGCAGCGGGTATAAATATATCACACGGCTCGTACATGAGATTTTCGCCTTCGTATGGCTTGGCTCCAGGAAAACCAACAATAGTACCATTTTCTATGCGGTATTCTTCCAATTCCTAGAAACGCATAGAAACTATGAGTAAATATTAACATATAAAGAAAAGGAGTTTTATCATCAATATTCTGTCACGTTATTAGTGACAAAAATTGAAATAGCTATGCTGGAGAGACAACTATCACTTACTTTTGGATCGATACCTTCTGGATTACAAATAGATCCATCATGTTCGATCACACCTATGCATGCAGCGCCCGCACGGTGTAAATAACGCATAGAGTGCAATCCGACATTACCGAAACCTTGGAGTATGAATGTTTTGCCTCCCCAGCCAGGCGTAGTACCTGCGGATCATTATATTTCTTTATTTACACATCACCAACAAGCCTTTTAAAATCTTAAGATGCTATAAGATAATAATAGATCGCAGATATAGGCTTAAATTTCTACGAATTTAATATAAAATCTTTTTCTATAATGATTTTAAATCTCTTTGGTCAAATAATATCCTTTTTAATCATATTTCTTTTGCGACTAAAGATTATAATTTATATAATTCATACAATATGTCCTGTTACATTGTAATTTATGATTAAAAATTAAAAGAGCTAATCAATTCATAAACGTACCGATCATACTCATATAGTTAGCTTCGTTGATGAAATTTTCTAATCCATGGAACACTCCACGTCCCGTCGCGGAAATGCGGCCATGAATGCCACCCTGATTAATGGGTTTGCCAGTGACACAAGCATGAGCATTGATATCGAGATGGCCGATAGTTTTCGCGTAAGTATCAGCTATCCAAGACATTTCCCGTTCGCCAGTGCCCATATCAGGAGCAGGAACATCAACTCCAGGACCTGGAAAGTGACAAATTCTTTTTAAGAAAAGAATCAAATATCTTCTTATAATAATCTTTTTATAAGACGCCTCGTTTTCAAATAATTTCGAAAGTCAAACATTGATAACATATTCACGCTTTTCTAAGCTGAAATAATTTCAACAAAAACCTTACGCGTGAATTGTATGCAAATTTTTATCTCGCCAGTAGTTATTAAAATATTATATAATTTTTTTTGTATTAAAAAAACAAAAATAATTTTTACATAACTTTATCTTTTAAATATTATTACTCTTATGCATTAATAGCCACTGTTGAGAGAACTTTAATAACGTACGATGTACGAGATTGTTAAAAGTTACTTAATCTTATAAAAGTATAAATACATTGGAAAGAAGTTTTCTTCATATTGACAGAACGATTGCCAATAACATCGTTTGCCTCAGATCAGATTGCCCTATCTCAATTGCTAACAATCTTTATTACACACAGAGCGATTGCCTACAAGCATTATTGCCTGTAATAACTTAAAATACAGATTCGCACTTGCGCACAAGCAAGTTGCTTTTTTTTATTGTTAGCAATCGCTAGAATCTTCTTACATGTATTCATACTTCCTAGATTACTTTTACAAGTTTCACTCATTTGTCTCGAAAGCAGTTTTATATAAAAAAATTTGTTCTACATTTTCGATTTTTTTTTCAAGAGAAATTAATTTCTTTTTAATTCTATTAACAATTTCGAAGCTGCATAAGTTTCGTCATACATACAGTATCAAGTGTTATACAAGATTGCTACGAGGTATAATTAACTTGCTCAAGCTGGGCAAGATGAATAATTCATACAAGGCTAATTATACTCGTAGCATTCTTGTATAACAATTCGATATATACTAACTTGTTTACACATTCCGTTTTACATATTTTTTATCTTGTATCGGTTATCACAATTATCGGTATATCTGCTGTCACGATTTACTTTTTTTCTTTGCACGCAAACAAAAGTATCGGTAAAGTATGCTTAAAAATCTATTTGCCATATTCGCTAGCACGAGCTAATAAATTTGTATGATAGATAACAGCCAGCTGTTTCTGCAACGCGTTTGGTTTGTGACGTAACGGCGGTGAATTCCGTGATAGCCATTACGAGAGCAGTGGTAGAGCCTTAACACGTTTTCACATCTTCTCAGCGACGTCTAAAATTATCGCGCAAACGTCACGCCTCCGCTCGGATCGTTTATGAAGATGTTACATCAGAGATTGTCTTCATCGAAGTCCCGGCCGAACCAACTGAAAAGCTACCTCTATTCTTTTTTTAATTATTTCTCTTTAACTTAAACTCTTACCGATGAATCCTTTCTTCGCTAATTCCAACGTAAATCTCCTGGTAATTTTCTCCAATTCGTGCTCTGAATAGTTCTTTGGATTTATTTTGATTCCAGCTTTTGCGCCGCCGAATGGTACGTCGACGCACGCACATTTGAATGTCATCAAGGCCGACAGGGCCTTAACTTCGTCTCGTGAAACGTCCATCGAGAAACGGATACCTATAAACATAATAAAAATACCTTTTAATTAATTCATTAGTCACAGATATAAATAAAATATGGGAGGTTAGCTGAAGAGAAATTAATTGCAAATTTTTGAAGTTTTATATTTCTGTTATAAAATGCTGAATATGTAAAATATTGAAATCAACTATTACAGAAAGCATTTTCTACATATTCAACAATACTGTGAAATTTTACTTTAGACTGTAGAATTTGCTTTCTAGTTTTTCTACTCGCTAGATTTAGTCTTGGCTAAATTATTTTCTTTTTTCCAAAGTAAAATTGTACGTAAAAGATACACATGGAATCTTATATCCAAAATAACTATAATAAAAAGATTCAAGAAAATTTTGAAAAAAAAAGTTATAAGGAATCTTCAAGTTTTTTTTTTACTGACTCTGTAAAAATTATATGGAAACATCAAGACAATTATGTGAATTTAAGCATTAAAAAATGTTTATATCTCTTTTTTACTTATTTAAAAGTTTTTTATACAGAACGTATATAATAGGCAGGGATGTATAATATGTAATTAATAATATTAATAAAATGATCCAAATTAGAGATTATTCTATATAGTATATTACACATACGCGCATGCGCACAAGAATAAATATTTTTTTCTTACATTAAATAAATTCTGTTTACCACTCTGCATACAAATATAAGAATATTAATATAAAATTATTTTAAAAGTTCTATTGCTTTATTAAAAGTTTAAATACTTTTCTGATACAGAATTGAGACATCTCGTAAACCATTAAGTCTTTTTTATGACATTAATGCTTGAATATGTAATGTGACAAGAAAAATTGATTAATGAACTTGTTTTTTGCATTACCCTATTATGAATTTGTAACATATACTTGCGTTTTCCTCTTCAAATGTAATTATGTTTCTTCGTACATCAATTATCATACAAAATAAATTTATATTTCAAATGCAGACTTTACCAAAAGCTTCAGTGTTTTTATTTTAGAAAATATTATTTTTGGAAATACCATCCAAGTAAAACTCCTGTTTAGAAGATCCTGTTTCGATTGCTTTGATCTTGACATATGTTAAGATCATGACCCTGAACAACATTCAAAAGATTTTAGTTCATTGTTTATTAAACCGTTATTAACGAATATAAATAAAGTTGACAATATAAAGAAATGTTTAACTTTATAATTTGAATTTTATCTAGTATAAATATCATATTATTTACATATTTTCATATTTAAGTAAATGCGTGACTGTGAAATAGACGGAATTATGAGTTTACAACTTTCGCGAAACAAGGTTCTACACGAGGTTTCGATTTTTCATGCTAAAATGTGAAGTACTTCACTCTCCCTCCTGTTATAGAGCAAAACAAGATCTATAATTATACGATTTCACAAGTTTAGTTTTAAATTAGAAATAAATTTTTTCACGTATTTATTTTTTAAATACATACTGTGTTAAAAAACTATATTCTATTTTTAAATCTTCTTTTGTTAATAATTTTTAATAAATAACGAATGAAAACTAAAAGATTTTGAATGGTCTCAGGATCATCACCTTGACAATATATGTCAAAGTCAAAGCGGGGTCCCCTAAACAGGAGTTTTACAAATATCCAAATAAAAATTCCATATTTTAATGAAAAATATAATATCTGTAACAAATTTTTTATAGCATATATTTTATATATTTTTCTGAAAAATTAACATTATTAATGTTTTAAAATAAAATAAAATTGTATCATTTCTTTTATTCCTTTCTATATATAAAAGTAAAAATTTTTAAATCAATAGTTCAAAAAGTATTTCACATATACACGCAAGATCTAAAATTCAAATTCCATAAAAATAAAATTTATACAAAGTATAAATGAGGATGACTCAATGCGGAGCCAAAACGTTTGGATGCTAATTTTTATTCTAAATATACTTAAGATCACAGCACTAACTCCGTGCAAGGCTCACTAGCCCTTCTTTTGATACTTTGTTTAATTATTAATTACATGAGCCAGTCTGATACTTTGTAGTAAAATTTATTTAGAATTAATTTAATTAAATTTTATTTAATTGTACCCATGATATTTACGGAAAAATCCTTAAGTTTAATTGTTAATTACTTAAAAATGATAGAGATCTCATTTTCGTAGAAGTAAAATTAATTTTATGTACACCTTGTATGTAAATTTTAACATTAAAATTGTTACATAAAAACTAGGAAGTATATGAATGCATGATACATTTTTGTCCTTCATTTATTATCGCAAAAACTGTCAGTTTAACTGCAAAGCTATGAAAAAATATCTAAAAATAATATCATTGTTATTTCACAAACGTTTTTCACGCGCAGATAATCGTATTTTACTTGCTCTTCAATTTGTGTTCTGCCTCTAAAATTTCACGTGACACACAATGTTAATGCCTCGTTGATAATAAATTTTCTTAACAACAGCTGGAATGCCATTTAGCACTTCCTGTTGCGTACTCTGTGTAATAGTGAATAAATAGGTCTTTGCTCTGTTACATCATCTGTCATAACAATTTTAATCTTATTATTGTTATATTCATCTAAATAAAAGTTTTATGAAGCATAATTATATAAGTATTTATAAAAGCCAAATTAATTCCATTTATATTAATGATTTTTTAAATTTTACTAATCAATATTTATTTATAAATTTCTTAATTTTAATATCAAAGTATATGATTAGTTTAGATTTTCTTTACTTATTCATGGAGTTAATCAGCCTGATTTATGTATCTGCGACTGTAAAATAAAAAGTTTTTAACTTTCCGTGACATTTAGTGACAAACGACAAACTATTATGCGTATATATTGCAAGAAATAAATCATAACTTGACACATGTTTTTAAAAAATCGCCGAAGCGAGAAGCAAGCTCGTTGAGTAAATATCGTGTCACTAAACGTGTCCGCTATCAATTAAATTATTTTAGAACGGTCGTTCAGCTAATGGTTTTGATATGGCCAAATAAAAAGCTTAGATTGTGTTATGTATAAAATATACTTAGTATTTTAAGTGTTGTATAGAAAATTGTCCTCCTTCAACCATTCGGGCGACGTGACGGTACATTTAACAAACAAGATTATTGTAAAGTCGAAGTCGAGTCGCTAAAAATTATTTATGAATTCAGCATAAATCTTCACTCAATAAGAAATATAGATGTTTATTAAAATAACAATAGCATGACGCATTCTAATAGGTACCAAAAATAGTGACTGTAACTTTTCGAAAGAAGAAACATCTCTGATTTAGAGAATAAACGACAAAATAGGATAAAGATAATCGACATGTGCAAATGGAATTAATTGGTAGAAAAGAAAAAGTCCTTTTGTAGCTATGTTAGAAATATTTCGGAAAGCAAAATCTCTTTCAAAAATTCTTTTTCTTTTCTTTTAAAATACGTGTTTAGAAAATGTGACGTTATTATAACAAGAATCATGGAAGATCATCTTCAAGG